TATTGAAGTGCCAAAATCAAAGAGTTTTGGAGGAGCTCGCAACGCGAAGGAAGTGGACAATTTCCTATGATTACTTGACCAATACTTTGGAGCGATGGGGATTATGGTTGAAGAGATAAGAATGCAACTCTTTATCTTTCAGACATCGCTATATTGTGGTGAAGAAGAAGGTGTGGAGACATTGAGAAAGGTATGTGTATCATATCCACCTTTGATGACTTTAAAAGGAAGCTAAAGAGACAATTTTATCCTGAGACTGAGAAGGATGAGGCTAGTGCTCGATTACGAAGGCTCAATAAAACGGGTTCGATCCAAGAATGTATTAAGGAGTTTACTAGCCTGGTCCATGAAATTCCCAACATATCTGATAAGGTTGCTCTATTCAACTTTATGGATGGACTCCAACAGTGGGTGAAGACTGAGCGTAAGAGGCGTGAAGTTCAAGATCTCGTTGCCACCATCACTGTCGTGGAAAACTTAATTAGCTATTCAAAGGAGTGTACAATGCCAAGGGAAAAGAAGGGTAACTATGTCAAATGTGGGGAAGACAAGGATCAACACAAGGAAGAGACCTGTTGCGAATTGACCACATCCAAGACAAAAGTCAAGGGGAAGTCTAACAACACTAACAAAACTAAACCACCTAATAACTGCTTGCTTTGTGGAGGACTTCATTGGGCATGGGATTGCCCCCATAAGAAAGCTCTAAACTCTCTCCTTGCAAGCTATCAAGAGAAAGAAGGAAGCGATATGGCAACACAAGTGGGAGCAATGTAACTACTCAACGTGGTGCATTCCTCTCCAAAACCCAGGCAAAAGGATTTGTTTGTGGAGGTGATTTTAGGTGGGACATCAACTAAAGCAATGATAGATACGAGAGCTTCTTAGTACTTCATCTCTTTTGAAGAAGTGAAGAGGATGGGTCTGCAAATAACTGGAGGAGGGTGCTCCATCAAAACAGTCAACTCATCGGCTAGGTCAATCCATGGAGTGGCCAAAAGGGATGAAGACTTGTGTCGGAGATTGGTCAGGTACGCTGATTTTCTCCATCATTCCTATGAACGATTTCAAGTTAGTCCTTGGTCTAGAATTCTTGGACCAAGTGAGAGCATTCCCAATACCATTTGTCAATAATATATGCATCATGGAGGGTAACTAAGCTTTCCTAGTACCAACAACAAGAACTAGGAAGCAAGAAGCCAAAATGCTATTTTCCATTCAATTCATGAAGGGTATCCGACGAGAGGAGTGCTACTTGGATATTCTTCATGACTCTGATAAAGAATTGAAGCCCCGAGAAGACTTGGCAATGGAATTGGTGGCAATACTTGAGAATTATAAAGATGTTTCACCACCAGAATTACTCAAAGAAATACCATCAAGAAGGGAGATCGATCATCAGATTTGAGCTGGAGCAAGGGATTATGCCACCAGCAATGGGAGCTTGCCGCATGGAACCTCCAGAGCTGGCAGAGCTACACAAACAATTTAGGGAGTTGTTGGAGGCAAGATTCGGTCGACCATCTAAAGCCCCATATGGTGCTCTGGTTCTATTTCAGAAAAAGAAAGATGGTTTCCTCCGCATGTGCATAGACTACTGGGCCTTGAACAAAATTACTGTGAAGGAAAAATACCCAATTCCTCTTATCGCCGACCTTTTTAATCAGCTTGGGAGCTCAACCTATTTATCAGAATTGGATCTCCGCTTAGACTACTATCAAGTGGGGACAGCATAAGGGAATGAAGTGAAGACCAATTGTGTGACTAGCTATGGGTCGTTTGAATTTTTTGTTCTGTCTTTCAGGCTAACCAATGCTCACGGTCATACTAAGGCATATGAAGTGTAATCAATGAAGAGCAATCAATGAAGAGCCCGTACTTAGACTTCTTGGTCATACTAAGGCATATGAAGTGCACATTGATGCATCTGACTTCACTATTGGGGAGTACTCATGCGAGGTGGACATCCAATTGCCTATGAAAGCTGGAAACTTAATAAAACAAAGCGTCTCTACACAATCCAAGAAAAGGAGATGATGAATATCATACATTGTCTTAGGCATGGAGACACTATCTGCTCGGCTCTAAATTTGGGGGTCATGACAGGTAATATTGCCTCCAGCTACTTTCAACCCAGAAGAAGCCAAGTCCCAAACAGGCAAGATGACGAAATTTCTTGGCGAAATTTGATTACATCTTGTATAATCCAAGAAATGCCAATGTAGTAGCGGACGCACTAAGTCGAAAAGCCGAAATTGCAAGCATTTCACAAGTCTCTAGCTCCCTTATAAGCAGAATCAAGGAATGGTTGAACTTTGATCTACAAACCCAATGTATTATTGCTTTGGTGAAGGTAGGAAAAACCAAAAAGTTATGGATAGATGAAGATGTCATCTATACTAAAGGCCGACACATCTACATACCAAGGTTGGACAAGAAATGAGCTAATCAAAGAATGTCTTGACTCTTTATGGGCAGGACATCTAGGTATGAAGCGAACCTTAGCACTTCTAAAAAAAAATATTATTGACTAGAGATGAAGGATGGGATAAAAGAATAGGTTCGCACTTGTCTTATTTGCCAACAACATAGTGGTCCTTCAATAACCAGTGGAGTTGTTGGAACCACTAACTATCCTTCGAAGACCATGGGAGAGCTTCTCTATAGACTTCATCTCCAACTTGTCAAACTCAAATAGATTTGAAAGCATCCTAATCGTGGTGGATAGGTTCAACAAGTATGCAACATTCATCGCTGCTCCCACCGACTACATTGTCGAAAAGCTGGCTCTTTCTCTACAACGTGGTAATGCTATGGGGAATACCACAAAACATGATCAACGATCGAGATTCTCGATTCATGGGAGATTTTGGACTGAACTATTCAAGATGTTAGGGTCATATCTAAACTTTTTTACAAGTATTCATCCTCAAAGTGATGGACAAATCAAGAGGATCAATTCCCTCTTAGAGCTATATTTGCGTCACTGTGTGAATGTAAATCAACAAAATTAGACCAAATTGCTTGATGTGACACAATTTTCTTTCAATTTACAAACAAACAAAGCCACCAACAAGAGTTCTTTCGAGATAATTGTGGGACAATAACCCATGACTCCTGTCTCTCTTACAACCAACCATGAAGGAAAAGATCTTCAGCCTTCAAGTTTGCTTCAAGTTTGTCAGGTCCTGGAATGAGCAAAGGAGAGCTCGAGCGAAATTACACAAAGCCGCAAGGAGGATGAAGAAGTGGACAGACAAAAAGAGGAGGCATATCGAGTTTAAAGGAGATCTAGTCCTTGTAAAACTTCTACCCCAACAATTCTAAACATTTTGAAAGGTACATGAAGGGTTGACTCAATAATACGAAGGGCCTTTCGAGATAATGAAGCGAGTGGAAAAGGTCTCTTACAAGCTCAACATTCCACCAAAATTAAAGATACAACAAGACTTTCATGTAAGTATGTTGAAAGCTTATCATGAAGACATGGAAGACCCTTTAAGAGGGATTTCCAAGCGAGGTCTACAACTGTAATCACCTCCTTTGATAAGGAAATTGAAGAAATACCGGCAGACAGAGTGATTAGGCGACGATGGGTGCCAAACTACAAGGAGCATCTTATCAAGCGGAGATCATTGCCTGATAGCGAAGCTAGCTAGTAGCATGAAGACACACTATGACAATTCAAAAAAAAATCCAACAGTATCAGGAGAATGACGCAATGAGGGCATTGCGAACTTTAGTGCGGGAGAGTGTCACACTCAACCACCTTCAATAAAATTGGCAAGACAATCATGGGATGAAAGATTATAGAAAGACCAGATGGAGGAGAGCAATTCAAGAAACTCTAGAAGATTCCACCACATTATAGAGAATATTAGAAGGAAAAAATCCAAAGATCTAGGGCTATATATGTAAGAGAATGGTGTGGAACTATATAGAAACTAGACTTTTCTAATGTAATCTTGAAGATTACCTTAGACTTGAAGGGGAGTATATATAGGAATCCTTTGCCCTCATTTGAATCCAAAGTTCCCAACCATTCAAGTGTTGTAATCACTCTTTTTTATTGAATTGTTTTTTCTCCAATACTTCTCATTACTCTTCCTAAAGTGCTTTATGTTTACAAGCCCAAACATTGTGAGGGTTAGACAGATTTAGTGCTAAGGAAAAGCGCTAAAGCCATATGGGTGACTTGAGATAAGTTAATCCGTGACATTTAGCTTGAGAAATGAGAAATGATCTTTATGAGTGTTTACTTTCTCTCTTTTATCCACTGCCAGCAGCCCCCTAGGCTTCTTAAAAAGATGTTCCATATAGTACATGATGTTTTGCATTTCATTATGTATGAGACAATGACCCTTGCAACTTAGATGCAAAATTTGTTGCAGGCTCCATTATGGGATGCTATCTAGTTCACAAGATAGCAGCAAATGGGCAGGCATCCCTGGCATATCAATCAAACTCGTGGTTATTTGTCAGAATTAGCTTATAGCATGTTTCCTAATTTCGTCCATCTGACATTGTGTCATTCTTGCTGTTTGCTGCTGTAACTAAAATGTGGCTTCTTTCTTGAAACTTAAAATTGGTTGGATTTTCTATCAAAATGAAACTTAGACAACAGCATTTTTAATATTCGTGATTATTTATGAGCATGATGAGACTGCTTAAACATTTTACCTGATTATTTGTGTCATTCTTGCTGTTTGTCTCATAAAGAGTAAGAGAAATTTAAAAATCTCCCGTCGTTCTCTAAAATCTGGTGTTATGGTCACTCATAATGTTGCAATAAGATTTTGAAGCATGTCGTGCTGATTATTTTTCATGATCATCAGTATCACGCTTGTTCCTTTTGTAGTAACAAGATCTTCGCCTTCCTATTATGCTACTTGATGCGTAGATTCTAAATAAAATAAGTTGTATTAGTAAATTATAAATCTTATATCATCAAATGATATTTTGATTTTTTGTTGAATAAGAAATGTACTGTTGATATGCAGTTGTGGAGCTTAAGTCATGATGGAACTCTAATCAACCCCTCCTCTGGTTTGTGTGCAACCATGGAATCAGCGAAAGGCAAGGCATTTAATTGTCATTTGACTATCGTTTCCATCAATACGATAAGCCTGGAATTTCAGTGAACCAATAAACCAAATTAATATAAATGTGTGCAGATTCCGAAAATGCTGCAGGGGCCCGCTCTTGGATTGCCACTGGAGCAAGAGGTTAGTTATGTTTTTGTAGTGGCATTTACATACGTAATACTTGCGTAAGTACACGTCTAACACCTAACATTCATGTTTACTTGCATAAGGTTAGTTTTGTTTTTGTAGTGGCATTTACATACATACCACATAAAACTTATTTATTTACATATCTAAAGCCTAACATTCATATTTACATGCATACCACTCAAATTCGTAACAAGACAAAAATGTCACCATAATTATCTTTTTAAAAGTGAACTATACATTTTCATGCATAGGGTTTTGACATGAAGGTGCCATGAATGTAAATATCAACCTTTGGGTGTTAGATATGTAAATACATAAGAATGTGTTATGTATGTAAATTTCCCTTTTTAAATTTAATCTTAATGACGTGATTTTGACCAACCTCTCGTCATATTCTACCTGCACTGCTTTTATTTTATTTTTTCATTTTTACTGGAAAGGATTAAAAAAAAATAATCTCATTTTGTGAAGACCCATCACCTAGCTTATGAATGTTTCCTTATTTAATATTCTATTTGACACAGGAGAAATATATCTGTCATTTTTCAATCTCAATCAAGGGAGCACAACAATATCTGCAAAGATAGGCGATTTGTCTAAGGTTCTTAGCAGCAGATTGCCCACAAACAGCTCATGCAACTGCCATGAGGTTTGGAGTGGGAAAGACTATAGTTTAATAGAAGGAACATTGTCAATTGCGGTCAATGGGCATGGCTGTGCCCTCTTTGTATTGAAATGCAGTGTTTGAAAAGTTTAGTTCCATACAGATAATGAGATCCTGGCACTGTAGCGAGGAATGCTTCCAATAATTTATTTTATTGTTGACACAATTTGGAGTTCAGTTCTGTGGGACAATTCAAATGGCCGCTCTTTACTTGTATTTTTAAGTGAATATTTCCTCATGCACAACTAAGTATATTCACTTAAGAAGTCAGATCTCCGATGCTCAATTTTGTTAATATGGGAGGAGGATTAATTTGTTGGATTGATAGTGAGGTTGAATGAATGATCTATGTTTATACTTCAGTAGCGTTAGCAATGCTGGACTTCATAGGATTTTTAAAGTAAGGAATAAATATTTGGGAATACTTGGGATTTCTAAATGTAGGATTTTATAAGGAATAAATATTTAACTCCTACTGGATAAGGACCCTTGATATTCAATGGGAAAATCGGCTGCAAAAATCGAGGGGTAAGAATTTAGGAGATTGAAAGAGTTGCTCGAAACTTTGGAACTCTAGTTGTCAAGGTAGCTAAGATATATATAAAAAAAAGAATTAGAGGCGCAATTGTGAGGCGTTCCTCCCATGTTAGGACCTACTAAACAGAACAAATGATTTAAGAATTTAACTCTACCTAAATTTTGATTCTCATCATTCAAGATAGATGTGAGGCTCTTTTAAATGGAACAAGACATCTTGTTCTCAATCATCAAGACTGGTGTGAGGCCCCCTTAACTGGAAGAAGACGTCGTATTGTCATTCCGAGGCTGGTACTTAACTTCTAGTCCTCATGCTGAGGCCAGTACCTAAATTTTGATTCTCATCCTTCGAGATAGGTGTGAGGCCCCCTTAAATGCAACAAGGCCTCCTATTCTCAATCCTCAAGATTGGTGTGAGGCCCCCTTAAATGAAAATGGCTTTAGATTCTCATTCCAAGGCTGGTACCTAAATTACAGTTCTTATCCCGTGGTCAATACCTAAATTATAATTCTCATCCTTCGAGGTAGGTGTGAGACCCCCTTAAAAAGAACAAGGCTTTCAATTCTCATTCTGAGGTCGGTATCTAAATTCCAATTCTTATCCCGATGTCAGTACTTAAATTCTAATTCCCATCCTTGTGATAGGTGTGAGGCCCTCTTAAGTGGAACAAGGCATCCTATTCTCAATCCTCGAGATCGGTGTGAGGCTCCCTTAAATTGAACTAGGCTTATGATTCTCTTTCCGAGGATGATACCTAAATTCTAATTCTCATCTTGGGGTCAGTACCTAAATTATGATTCCTATCATTCGAGATAGGTGTGAGCCCCCTTAAATTGGATAAGGCATTCTATTCTCAATCATCGAGATTCGTGTGAGGCACCCTTAAAAGGAATAAGGCTTCTAATTCTCATTCCGAGGCTGGTACCCAAATTTCGGTTCTCATCCTGGGCTCAGTACCTAAATTCTGATTTCTATCTTTCAAGATAGGTGTGAGGCCCCTTAAATGGAACAAGGCATCCAATTATCAATTCTCGAGATCGGTGTGAGGCCCCCTTCAATGGAACAAGGCTTCTGATTCTCATTTCGAGGCTGGTACCAAAATTTCAGTTTTCATCCATAGGTCAGTACCTAAATTCTAATTCCCCATCCTTCAGGATGGGTATAAGATCACCTTAAATGGAGTAAGACATCATATTCTCATATTTCTCTACACTTTCGATTGGCCTCTCGAGTTAGATGTGAGTCGCTATGCTTTCCATTTCAATCTTGTCTCCCAAAACATATTTCTATCCCGTGAAATTTTAAATCAAAACTAAAATCAAAATTAAAATTTAAGACATCAAAATCAAATCTAATCTTCACCATGGCCATCAGTTTCCCCAATGGTTGTCTTCAGCATCCCCTTTCCTTTTTTAGCAGCGGGAGTCCCTGTTTACTCCCCAGCGGAAATCTTCTTCATTTTTTCTCTGTTCTGTTCAGAGTGCATTAGCTTGTGCAGTTCTGTTATCTTTTTTGATCTCTTTGGTCAACACCAATACGTGTGGTGTGCTTGCCCAGCACACCACACTTATTGGGGGTCCATTTGTTGACCTCACTTTTAGTTGAGGTTTATTTTCTTCTTTAGAAAGATAGGATCTAGCCATAGTACTTTCTTATTGACTATCCTAGAGGACAAGTGATGGCACCCTCACTTTTAGAAATTCTAAAACTCTTCTTTGTTCAGCTTGAAGTTTCACATATTGCTAAACTCTAGTACTCAATAGGTGGAGCCAATATGGGGTAAGCTCAAGTGGAGTCTCCATAGAACTGTTTGGCCTTAGGGTTGACCCAGGGTGATTTGGTCTTCGTCAGTCTCACACACACATACACTTGATACCCCTCACTTACACACACAACCTTAACCATTAACCAAATATGCTTAGTTGACCCATTACTCTTTTGGAATCTCATGTAGATGGTCCCCTAAACCATTAGCCCTAGGCTAGGTTTTGGCTAAGACCAACAAATAGAGCATCCAAAGTGGGGTTTCCCTTGGTCTCATGGCTCATGAAGGGTAATTTCTTGATTAACATCCTATTGAACTGCAATTTTACATAAGTACCCAATTTTAGCATTTGGCCCTAAACTTTCTCATATTTACCAAATTAACCTTAAAACACATGGTAAAATTTTTGAACCTTAGACTCTAAGACTGCTACTTCATCGAGGAGCTTGGAGCTAACTCTTGGGGCAACAATCTACAACAGCGATCGACAACAACACGAGGATCTTCAACAGTACTAGGAACTACAACAACCATCTTTTCCCTAGAATTAAATAAAAAATTCATAGGACTTCAAGGTTGTTTGTTTATTCAACATAAATCCTCACCTTATTTTTAGGCATTTGCACAATCACGTTACACAAAGTAAGCCCTAACTTATTTTGGACTCCATGGCTGTTATTCGTTACGCATAAATCCTCCCATATTCTAAGCTATTTGTATGATTGTGTCAAGAAAATGTAGGCCCTAAAAAATAATAATTGGTAAGAGAAACATTCAATAATATCTCTTCAAAATTGAAGCCAAATCATATGATAGCTTGGGACGTCACTGATGATCTCCTCAGAATCTGTGACAACCCCTAGTTTATCTCCCTTTGGATTCCTAAAATCGATGTTCTAAATTTGAGTCATCCCCATTTGACACCTCTTTGTCCAATATTTGAAAAGAGCTATTCTTTTTGAATTTCTTGAAGATAATATTTCTTGGTCTAAATCGAGAGTGTTTTTATGTGACTTCTGTTATTTAAGATGTAATTAACTATAGGCGTTTGCCCTTATAGAAAACTTTAAGAACCTAGTTTAATATAAACTCTGTTTAATTCTTCATATTAGATAGGGTACTCTGTCAATCAATATAAAAAAATGGTTTTTCGTAAACTAAAACGGATGTCATAAATTTCTTAGTATATTTAATCAAACACCACCAACAAGTAGTGTATCTATCCTTTGAGGTAGATATATTTATTGCGGTGTTTTGCTCGATCATTTTAACTATTACAGATATGAGATTGATTTGATTTTGTATTTTAAAAAATTGAATCATTACTTTTTTTAAAAGTATATACACCCCAAAAAATTATTATTCATTATATTCCTCATCTTCTTCTTCCTCTTCTGCTTCTTCCTCTTCAAATTTATCTTGCACATAAGGCGTAAAACTGAGGCTTGTAGGAAATTCTACATTATGATCACCCATAAGATATCTAACCATAGCCTCTTGCTATGCAATATCATGTTGTACTCTTCTCTGCTGATAATCATCATTATGAGCATGTCGATCACCAAATTAGGAAGAAATATTATTTTATATAATATATATTAAATTTTGGAAAGTAATATTTTAATTTTAAAAATACGAGACCAAACCGATCCCATATAAATAATAGTTTAAATAAATGAGCACAACATTGTAAGTGATATATCTATCCTAAAGAATAAACATATTACTTACTAGTGCAACTTACTTAAATAAACTAAAGAATTTATGACATATGTTTTAGTCTACGAACCATTTATGTTGACCGACAAATTTTCTTATCTAATATAAAAGATTAGATAAGGTTTATATTAAGCTGGTTTTGGACTGGGTTCTTAAAGTTTCAGGGCAAACCCCTTATAGTTAATTACATCTTAAATGACCGATGTCACCTAAGAAAACTCTCAATTTAGATCAGAAAATATTGTATTCAAGAATTCCAAAAGATAGGACTTTTCAAAGATCAGACGAAGGAGTGTAAAATGGAAAAGGTTCAAATTTGGAACATTGTTATGGAATCTAAAGAGAGAAAACAAGGGGTTATCACAAATTCTGTGGAGAACGCTAATGACTTTCCAAGCAATCATATGGTTTCGCTTCAATTTCGGGAAGGAAATTACTGAATGTTTCATCCTGCCAATTATTATTATTTAGGGTTTACATTTGTTTGACATAATCATACAAATAGCCTGGAAGATAGGAGGATGTATGTCATCATGAACAAAAATCTCATATCCTAAGGCGAGTTAAGGATTAAATTGCACAACATGATTGTGTAAATGTATAAAGATAAAGTGAGAATTTATGTTGCACTAGGCAAACGACTTTAAAATCTTATGGCTTATTGTTTAATTCTAAGGAAAGATTGCTCTTGTAGATCCACTTGCAGTTGTAGAATGCTGCCCTCGAAGCTAGCTCCGAAGTTAGCTCCAAGCTCTTTGGTGAAGTAGCAGTCTTAAAGCGTAACGTTTCAATGGTTTAAATGACAAGTTCAGTTCAATGATTATGGGGGGGTTAAATTGATTAGAGTGACATCGCTTAGGATCCCACAGTGCCCTTATTTTTGTACCGCTATTTTCTTTTAAATTCACTTAGCTTAAACGAGTTGTTAAGCTCATTTAAACTGGGGAGATCTCGTTATCAATCATGGGTTACCTCTTCCGAGGGACTCCCATAAATTCAAAATGACGTGTTATGTTTAACTGTATTTTAAAGGATTTATGACCACCTTTGAAATTATTTAATTTAATTTTAAAAATTGTTTAAATTTTTAATTTTGAAAAGTTTTCATTTTATCAACCAAGCATGCATGGTATGTTATTTCAGTAGTAAAATGCAGTAAATAAAATGAAAGAAAG